CCACAAGTGTGAATTCGCAGAGCACCACTCGAAGAAAGATGGTCACAGGTATGTAACCTACCATTATTTTAAGGTAGAATGGGAACTGTTGGATTTCTCTGTTTTATATCTGTTTAATTGTGTGAAAGTATGGGTGTCCTTGTGGGTACTGATGTACTGTGATGTTCCTTTTGTCACCATGGGATGAGGTCTTAGGAATTTAGAAGGCTATATTCAAATCCCTGCTCTGTAATGGAAACCAACTAGGCAAATCACATTCTCTCAGCCTCAAAGGAAGACAATGGTATCCCCCACCCCACCCCAAACAAATATTTCCAAGAAAACCTAGGATGGGTCTTCATAAGTCAGAGTCAACTTGAAGGCACACAATTACAACAAGAAAGATTAATGACTGGGGTTGGGGGGGGGCGGAGAGAAGGCAGAGAAGTTCTAGATCTTGGAGAAATCATACCCCAATTTCAGAAACCAATAATCAAAAATAGAGGGTTTTGGAAGGTCTCTCGTCTATCTTCTGCACCCAGAGAGCACTATGAGGAATTATTTAGGTTTAACTGGGACACCCTGACTTCATCCCTCACAAACCTTACTGCAGGTGAAATACTATTGCCACTCCATATCTGCTAGAATCACTCAATCTTCCTAATATGTGCTCTTTTCAATGGGGAAAAAGAAGAAAATTCCAAAAAGAAAGTGGGGCGGGGGGAGAGAGACAGACAGAGAAAAACAGACAGACAGACAGAGGTCTATATTTACTCTGATTAAATTATTTGTGCCAACTACTCTGTGAACATGGGGCTCACTCAGTATTGATCTGTGCATTAGACTGAAGTTTCTGTCCAAAAGATTTACCTGGAACCCATTCAGGCACATGTTGCAGTGGAAAATAGCCCTCTGAAAACATAATCATGACTTTGTTAGCCGTCGCCCCGAAGGCAAAAGCTAGTGACCACCGGTTGCTGAATGCCCCTGCAAAATTCAAAGGTCTGAGAAAAACAAGGGGGGCGGGATCATAGTTAGTAGAAAGGAAATTTTGAGTGAGCATTAGAAAGATTTTTTTTTTCTCATGATACATACTGTTTGATAGTAGAACATGAAGAAAGAAAAGGCACTTAGAATCCTCAGCTAGAGCTTTTTTGGTGCATAAGATCAATCTACAAACTGTCAGAATTGCATTGAACACTGCTTTGGCAGATAAGGTAGAATCATAATGCATAAGTGTGCAAAGTCATCTCCACCATATTGAGATGTACAGCATCCCATTTACACCCCATTAATAATTTCTAATTCTTAGATATCACTAAGAAATAGAAGAAGATAAAAAGGTAGAATGAAACTAAGATCTTCTGGGGAGGCCCTGCTCTCGGTCCCGCCACCATCACAGGCGCGTTTGGCAGGGACGAGGGGCAGGGCCTTCTCAGTGATTCCCCCCCCCCCCCCCCCCCCCCGGCTATGGAACTCCCTGCCTGGCAATATTAGATCAGCCCCCTCCCTCCTGTCCTTCAGAAGGATGGTGAAGAACTGGCTGTGGGACCAAGCCTTTGAGGCAGTGCAATGAGGCAAAATTATGCAAAATTGTATCTTGAGATGGTTTTAAGCAACCTTTAATGTAAATATAAGTGATTTTATTGTTTTATGTCCCGGCATTGAATGTTTGCCATATATATGTTGCACTCCATCCGTCCCCTGTTGGGTGAGAAGGGTGGAATATAAATGTTTTAAATAAAATAAAAAATAAACTCTTCCACAAGATCCAAGAAACAAAATTTAAGACATCCAGATGCCTCAGGGCTGATCCATCACAGCAGCTCCTCCCCTGTGCTTCTCCCATAGTTGATGTGTTGGATGATGGCATCTGTCCTAGGAGACATCTCTCTACTATTGGTTCAAAAGTACAGTATTATCAATCTGGTTTATTCCAGAATTTATTCCAATGCCAGAAATACAGCTTAATGGTGTAACATTAGAAAACGTTGATCATTTCCGCTACCTTAGCAGCCACCTCTCCACAAAAGTCAACATTGACACTGAAATACAACACTGCCTGAGCTCTGTGTGTGCAGCTTTTTTCTGAATGAAGCAGAGAGTGTTTGAGGACCGGGATATCCGTAGGGATACCAAGGTGCTTGTTTATAAAGCTATTGTCCTCCCAACATTACTTTATGCCTGCGAGACGTGGACTGTCTACATACATCACATGCAACTCCTGGAACGATTCCTCCAGAAAATCCTGCAGATCTCTTGGGAAGACAAGCGGACAAATGTCAGCATGCTGGAAGAAGCAAAGACCATCAGCATTGAAGTGATGGTCCTCCAACATCAATTCCGCTGGACTGGCCACATTGTCCTAATGCCCAGCCACCATCTCCCAAAACAACTGCTCTACTCCGAACTCAAGAACGGAAAATGGAATGTTGGAGGACAGGAAAGAGATTTAAAGATGGGCTCAAAGCCAACCTTAAAAACTCTGGCATAGACACGGAGAACTGGGAAGCCCTGGCCCTTGAGCGCTCCAGTTGGAGGTCAGCTGTGACCAGCAGTGCTGTAGTATTTGAAGAGGCACGAATGAAGGGCAAAAGAGAGAAACGTGCCAAGAGGAAGGCGAGTCAAGCCAACCCTGACCAGGACCACCTTCCACCTGAAAACCGATGCCCTCACTGCGGGAGAAGATGCAGATCAAGAATAGGGCTCCACAGTCACCTATGGACCCACCAGCACACTGACCTTGGAAGACTATCCTACTCAGACAATGAGGGATCGCCTAATGAGTAGTAAAGTAAGTAGTAAGTAGTATTTCAGAATTGGGATTTACATCTGTCTAAATACACCAAGGCTTTCCCGATATATTTTGTGAAAATTGAGTCTTGCATTTTTCTCCTCCTCCTCCCCCTCCCCCTCCTCCTCCTCCTTTCTTTCTTTTGGATTAGGGTGTGTTTCAATAAAAAAAAAATTCCAGCCAAGGGTACTCATGAGTTCTCTTCCAGTCGAAAGCCTAGTGCTAGAAAACAGGGATTAAAGAAATATGGGCTACAGCAAGGTTCAAGACTCACATCACAATCCCACACCTCCTGTTGAGAAGAGGCCATTTTTCATCTACTGGACTTTTCCTGGCTCTTCTTTCCAGGCAGGAGAGTATAATAATTATGGCAACCTGGAAGGAGCAGAGAAAAGCAGAGAAAAGCAATGAATGCCAACCCATCAAGCTATGACAAGCTAACTATTGAATCAGTGTACTTACTGATGGGATAAGCGAATAATGCAGGAAATATTCCAGCTGTATGGAACTGTTGCAGGTCTCGTTTACTGACTGCCTGTTCAGGAAACATGAACACAGATAGACATACTTATCCGAAAGCTGTATGGAAGTTTCCAGGTCCCTAAATCTTTCCTCAGAATAAAGCGCTGTCTCAGGTCACATCATTTCTGATTGAAATGTCTGGAAAATGGCTTGTGATACAAATTAATAAAAGCATCCAGCAACTGTTGTATATTACAAAAACTATAAAAAGCATAATGTATTGTCGAAGGCTTTCATGGCTGGAATCACTAGGTTCTTGTGGGTTTTTTCGGGCTATAGGGCCATGTTCTAGAGGCATTTCTCCTGCATAGTTTCCTTGAGGCCATCAAGTCTGTGGAAAGTTGCAAATCAGCAGTTGAGCCCCTGTTCTGCATAGAAACAGTTAAAAGTGTTTATTTGTAGGGCTGGAAACAAAGCTGAAGTCAATGAAAATGAAGCCCTTACTTTAGGCACTGCACCCAGTGTGCCAGTCACCACTGGGATCACCTTGACTGGCTTGTACCAGTCTTTGCAGTTCAATCTTTAAATCCTCATATCGTGTCAGCTTTTCTAGTTGTTTCTCTTCAATCCTGGTGTCACCTGGGAGGATTATTATTATTATTATTATTATTATTATTATTATTATTATTTGATGTTAATGATGCCATCCCAACACTTCTATGTACAATACATCTCCACATTTGCTGGGATTAGGGGCACAAAACCGCAGTGAAAGTGGAAAAAATATTTTTAAAAAGGATTATTTTTTTTTGTAACCAGAGAAAAGAGCTTTTCTAGGAACCTCTATGTCCTTTAGTGTGACTTCTGGTGGAAGTTGATCGTACAGTTGCACGTTGGAATCTAGAAATTCCTAGAGACTGTATTAATCAAATCTGCTAATGATCAAATATGGAAAAACGTGGAGGGCAAACAATTGCTAAATTGCTGCAAAATACAACAGCGAGTTAAGAGGAAGTCATGCTAACAAAATGTTAATCGTATTGACAAAGTTCAGAGAGGTACCTGGCATAATTGTATTCGCCCAGGATTAGATTCAATATTCTCCCTACCAGTGAGATGCTTGTATTTCATGTCACCCTTGCATAATGTGAAATGATTAACACATGCTGCTGAATCATAACCAAATACATCATAGGCAATACAGCTTCAGGCATTTCCTGGCTAAGCCAAGAGGTGAATTTGGGAGTGGAAATGCAGTTGGTGGATGCATAGTACTCTTTCTTTATCTGTGTTAACACAATGATGGATATAACGTTGGCAGGATTGGGGGGCAGAACTGGCCCAAGACATTTGTGCTTCTGAAGAGAAAGGACAAGGCGGTGCCTATTCCCATGCTTATAAAGAAACATATGAGGTTGGAAGCCAAAGTCTTAGGGCTAAACTACATGTTATGTTGAATACACCAATTTTCTTTTTGTAACTATAAAGTAAGCAAGCACATCTCTGATCAATGTAGGTAGGTAAAGGTAAAGGTTTTCCCCTGACATTAAGTCCAGTCGTGTCCAACCCTGGGTGTTGGTGCTAATCTCTGTTGCCAAGCTGAAGAGCCAGTGTTGTCTGTAGACACCTCTAACGTCATGTGGCCGGTATGACTGCATGGAGCACCGCTACCTTCCTGCCAGAGCGATACCTATTGATCTACTTCTCAACCCGCCTAGGGGGTTGAGAAGGGCGGGGTAGAAGCACTCCAAATAAATAATAAATAAATACTCACATTTGCATGTTTTCGAACTGCTAGGTTGGCAGAAGCTAGGGCTAACAGCTGGAGCTCACCCCGCTTTTAACCGGCAATCTTTTGGTCACCAAGTTCAGCAGCTCAGCGGTTTAACCCACTGTGCCACCAGGGGCTTCTGATCAATATACAGAAGTTTAGCACACAAACACATAGGTTCATATGGGTGCGCATTCGTGCATGCAGGATTTTTACAACTTCCTAAGAGCAGCATAGGATTTTGAAATAAAAAAATGTCTGGAGAATGTGGAGCCTTACATTTCCTCAGACTGTGTGTGTTCTATTTCTTATGCAGAGTAGGAACATGCTTATTGTTGTGTACGAAATAATAATAATAATAATAATAATAATAATAATAATAATAAAGATCAAATGGGATTTTGGCCTGCATCAGTAGGAGTCTAGTGTCTAGATCCAGGGAAGTCATGCTACCCCTCTATTCTGCCTTGGTCAGACCACACCTGGAATCATACCGTGACCAGTTCTGGGCACCGCCATTGAAGGGAGATGTTAACAAACTGAAATGTGTACAAAGGAGGGAGATTAAAATGATCAAGGGTCTGGAGAACAAGCCCTATGAGTGGTGGCTTAAAGAGCTGGGCATGTTTAGCCTGAAGAACAGAAGGCTGAGAGGAGACATGATAGCCATGTATAATTATGTGAGGGGAAGTCATAAGGTGGAGGGAGCAAGCTTGTTTCAGCTGCCCTGGAGACTAGGACACAGAACAATGGCTTCAAACTATGGGAAAGGAGATTCAACCTGAACATTAGGAAGAACTTCCTAACTGTGAGAGCTGTTCAGCAGCGGAACTCTCTGCCTCGGAGTGTGGTGGAGGCTCCTTCTCTGGAAGCTTTTAAACAGAGGCTGGATGGCCATCTGTCAGGGTGCTTTAAATGCAATTTTCCTGCTTCTTGGCAGGGGGTTCGACTGGATGGCCCACGAAGTCTTTTTCAACTTTATGATTCTATGATTAGCCTTCAAAAGAGAAGACTGAGAGGAGATATGATGCAGGCCTTGTATACATATGTGAGGGGAAATCATCGGGAGGAGGGAGCAAGTTTGTTTTCTGGTGCTCTGGAGACAAGGACATGGAACAATGGTTTCAAACTACAGGAAAGGAGATTCCATATGAACATTAGGAAGAACTTCTGAATTGTGAGAGTTGTTCAGCAGTGGAACTCTCTGCCCCAGAGTGTGGTAAGGCTCCTTCTTTGGGGGCTTTCAAAGAGAGGCTGTTGGGGGTGCTTTGAATGTGATTTTCCTGCGGGTGGCCCACAAGGTCTCTTCCAACTCTATGATTCCATCACTCTATGTATCCTGCAAGCAGTAGATGACAAGCAGCACCATCAAGTCTTCTCATCAAACCAAAGCACTTCTCAAAATAAAACCCAAACATACCTTTGCCAAAATAAAAGAATAGGGAAGGAGGCACTTAAAAATTAGCAATGTAGGGAAGGCATTCCCTCAACTAGTTCCTTCTCTCCCTCCTGCAGCCCCACTGACTTTGTTGTAGGGGGAAAGTGTCCTACTAACACCAACTAACCCTTGTAAGTGCTCTCACTTTCTTTGTACTTCGTAATTCAACACTGGATTAGGACACCATGGTTACACCACCCTTAATTCCATAACATGCTGTTGATTCAGTTAAAGGAGCTCACCGAAATCCAGAATTGGGTTGTACAATGCAACTCCCCAATGAAAATCTCACATGTACCACAGCTTCACCACTTAAACCTACCGTGTCTCATGGAAGGGCATCATAGTCATGCTGAGGAGGTCGCCACCAATTAGATGGATGTTATTCTAGAAGCACAGCAAGGTGAAAGCAAACATACCCGAGACATCGCATCTTTATGTCTCGCCATGAGTTCCATTATGCATTTTTTGTCTTTTACCTTTGACCATTCGGGATAGCAAAGGTAAATGTGTGGCATTTCTCAGCTTCCACACAGCAAAGCATGAACAGAAAGCAAACATTTGGTTAATTATTCACTTCAGGTATAGACATGTAAATGCAGGATCCTGCAACACATTGAATGGGGATTTCCTGGTTATTTTCAGATGGTATTGCAATAAAGAACTATTATCAAAGAGTGATAATGCAAATGGAATAAGAGGGAAAGGTTAAGGGCAGAGGTTGAAAATCTGTGTGGCCTGAGTTTGAAAACATCAAGCATTTGTTTGCATGTATAGGTATTTGCAGAAAGACCATCCTTGCTATTTTTAGAACCTTCAAATGGATGAAGTCAGTTATTTATACACAGCAAGTTACAACATAATCTACTTACAATGGCACATTGGATAAAGAAAGAGGAACCTTGCTCTTTCCATTGTATACTTAGTGCAAGGAAGTTGGACTGCAACTCCCAGTTGTATCCAGTTTAGCCAAGGGTGATGCTGGGAACTGTAGTTGAACAACATCTAGAGGACACTAGTCCTACCAATTGCTCTCTCTTTTAATTGCAATAATTAAGAAATGGCTGCAGAAAAGATTAGTCTAATTCAGTGTTTTTCAACGTGAGGGTCAGGACACCTTGGGGGGGGGGGTCGTGAGAGGGGTCGTCAAAGATCATCAGAAAATATATATTTCTGATGGTCTTAGGAACCCCTTTGGCAGAGAAGGCTGAAGATCTCTCCGCCTGTCTTTCTCTTCCTTTTTGGAAACAGACAGTGAATCCCCCCACCAAAAGCCCTCTTCCGCTGTGATTGGCCAGCTCTGAGCCAAGGGGAGGGCTGTTTCTGAGACTCCAAGTGGAGAGGGTAGAGCAAGCATGCTCAGAGCATGGCCGTGTGGTGCGCATGTGCGGACAAGGGACAGCGTGCGAGGCTAGAGGGAGGCTCACGCTAGCAAGTCCCTTCAAGGCATGGGGGTTCTGTGAGGGAAGTTTGGCCCAATTCAATTGTTGGTGGGATTCAGAATGCTCTTTGATTGTAGGTGAACTATAAATTCCAGCAAGTACAACTCCCAAATGACAAGGTCTCTTTTCCCCAAACTCCACCAGTGTTCAAATTTGGGCATATTGAGTACTCCTGGCAAGTTTTGTCCAGATCCATCACTGTTTGAGTCCACAGTGCTCTCTGGATGTAGGTGAACTACAACTCCAAAACTCAAAGTCAATGCCCACCAAACTCTTCCAATATTTTCTGTTGGTCACAGGAGTTCTGTGTGCCAAGTTTGTTTCAATTCAATCATTGGTGGAGTTCAGAATGTTCTTTGATTGTAGGTGAACTATAAACCCCAGCAACTACACCTCCCAAACGACAAAATCAATCTTTCCCCAACCCCACCAGTATTCAAATTTAGGGGAATCGGATATTTGTGCCAAATTTGGTCCAGTGAATGAAAATACATCCTGCATATCCGATATTTACATTACAATTCATAACAGTAGCAAAATTACAGTTATGAAGTAGCAACAAAAATCATTTTATGGTGGGGGTCACCACAACATGAGGAACTGTATTAAGGGGTCACGGCATTAAGAAGGTTGAGAAACACTAGTCTAATTAGACATCTTTCTCTTCCAAACGCATGTAGTCACTTCTGTTTCTTGGCATCTCATTTGGCATCTTTTGGTTCAATCCTGAGGGCTAAGACAATGGATACAATGGCTTTGTTTCCTGTAGAGAAGCAGAAAAAAGTAGGCTACATTCCTGTGTGGGGAATAGGTTAGTTTTGTTTATGCAGGACAGACTTTTTGGCTCATACAGTTTTGTTCTTCCAAAGGAAGAGATGACTGTGCGGTTTTGCAGAAACAGTTACGGAGTTGCCATGGCGGCCTGAGGAAATTACCTCCCGAGACTGACTTCCAAGCAGTGAAGGGGAAAGCCAAATGAGCCAATTCTGTGGCAGCACGAATTACAACAAAATTAAAAGCCACGTAGCAAGTTCTATAGTCTTAAGAGACAGATTTGTTGAACCAATTTCTTCACCGCCTTTCAAGGATCAAAATCAAGACTGTTTTGGTAACTTGTGTCAGAAAATATACAAAAAGACTTGCTTTAAAAGTATCGGTTTCAAGCCTTCCTTAACTTCTAGTCTTTGGTCAGCCTTTTTGGCCTATCTGGAGATACACTTTATTCATACTTCTCTTCAAAACAGATTACTGCTAGATGCCTCCATCCAGAGTCATAACATCAAATTACAGACTAGGGGTGCCAGAACATGGAAATGGATATATAATTAGGTCATCCAGTGTGACCCGATGGTCAACTCCCTCCAGGCATGGTGGTGAGATTTTCAGAGAGAACACATCACTAGGGATCTCTGGGTCCTCTAATGTGATTTTATGCTCGGTTCTAGAGCAGGAGTCCACACACTTTTGAAGCCAAGGGCCCTCAGACTGTTGGGGGCAGGACTATAGTATTTTTTTAACAAAAAACATGAATTCCTATGCATACTACACATATCTTCTCCCTTTCACAGGGGTCTTGTGTGCCTAACCCTAGTGAAGATGGAAGGATGATTGTACTCATGTCAAAGTCTAGAAATTTGAGTAAAATACCAACATCCAAAAACCTAAATAAAGGTATCCATGGATCAATGTGAATGTTGTTATTTTTTCAGTCGCTTCCGACTCTTTGTGACCTCATGGACCAGCCTACGCCAGAACTCCCTGTCGGCCATGACCACCCCCAGCTCCTTCAGAGTCAAGCCAGTCACTTCAAGGATACCATCTATCCATCTTGCCCTTGGTTGACCCCTCTTTCTTTTTCCTTCCATTCCCCCCAGCATCATTGTCTTCTCTAAGTTTTCTTTTCTTCTCATGATGTGGTCAAAGTACTTCATCTTTGCCTCTAATATTCTTCCCTCCAATGAGCAGTCGGGCTTTATTTCCTGGAGGATGGACTGGTTGGATCTACTCGTGGTTCAAAGAACTCTCAGAACCTTTCTCCAACACCACAGTTCAAAAGCATCTATCTTCCTTCACTCAGCCTTCCTTTTGGTCCAGGTCTCATCCATAGGTTACTACAGGGAATACCATTGCTTTAACTTTGTTGCCATTGTGATGTCTCTACACTATTTTATCGAGATTGGTCATTGCTCTCCTCCCAAGAAGGAAACATCTTCTGGTTTCTGGCTGCAGTCTGTGTCTGCAGTAATCTTTGCACCTAGAAATACAAACTCTGTCACGGCCTCCACGTTTTCTCCCTCTATTTGCCAGTTATCAATCATTCTTGTTGCCACAATCTTGGTTTTTTTATGTTTAACCCAGCTTTTGTGCTTTCTTCTTTCACCTTGGTTAGAAGGCTCCTCAGCTCCTCCTCGCTTTCGGCCATCGAAGTGGTATCATCTGCATATCTAAGGTTGTTAATGTTTCTTCCAACAATTTTAACTCCAGCCTTGGATTCGTCAAGCCCCGCACATCACATGATGTGTTCTGCATACAAGTTGAATAGGTTGGGTGAGAGTATACAATCCTGCTGTATGCCTTTCCCAATCTTGAACCGGTCTGTTATTCCACGGTCAATTTCTTACTGTTGCTACTTGGTCATTATAAATAAATAAATTATACATATTATTAATTATACAAATTAATTATACATATTAATTATACAAATTATTTATTATAAATAAATAAATAATACAGATTCCTCAGGAGAGAGACAAGGTGAATGTGAATACTGTACTCAAATCTTATTGAAAGAGGAACTGCCCCCTTCTCTGAGCAGGATGACAAAGGTAAGGACATAGTCCAGGGAGAATCAAAAAGAAGCACTGCCTCCCCACCCCCACCCCCTTATTCTCTTCACTTCTGAGTTGTTGTTTTGATTCCTGGGCAGGAAAATGGTGGAAACCTTGTCCTGTTTCATGTCTCAGCTTTTGTTGGGGGCCTGATCCATTTTTGTAAGCCTCCCAAAATTGGGACGGTTGTTTTTGGTTCTTTCATTTCCGGGCCCAAAAATTGGACCATTATTGGGGAGGGCTTCCTACCCACTGGCTCCCCTTCCTGCTGTGCATTCTTCTTACCTGGCACCTGCTGTTTCTACTCTTAGAGTAAGAGGCGCTTGGCCGTAGGCACTGGCAGCTGTGCACACTTCCTGGGCCTGTCTGCACACCACTATAGCCCTACTAATGTTAACTTCCTGGATGTCATGGTTTTCAAAAAAGGTCAGAAACTATTAGTGAAAAATTATAGTAAACCTACAGACAAGAATTCCTTTTTACATTTTTCCAGCTTTCATCACTTTTCTCTTAAATCCAATTTACCATTTTCTCAGTTTTTAAGACTGAAACGTAATTCTAGCACACAAAAGGACTTTGAATCTACGGCAGGTATCCTGAAAAAACAACTCAGAGAGAGAGGATACCCTAATAGGATACTCAACACAGCCATGAACAAGGCAAACTCCATCAACAGAGGTGAATTACTACAGGAACGCCCTAGAAAACATAACAACCGCATAATATGGCCCTTGACACTGACACAATATTCATCCAAGATCACTAAGATTATTTCAAAACACTGGCATTTACTACAGGACATTCCTGGATGCAAAGACAAACCTATAATTGCCCATAAAAGATCCAGAAATTTAAGGGACCTTATGATCCACTCTGAATATAACACTCCTAATACATCCCATGAACCTACCACTAGGGGTCACACTAGCTGTGGACACTGTAACTGCTGCCAGCAATCACTTAAGAGTAAAATATACTCTCATCCAACACTCAATATTAATGTCACATTACGACATTTGACAACATGTTCCAGTGATAATGTAGTGTACCTGTTAGAATGCCCCTGCAAATTACTATATGTTGGAATAACTACTAGACCCCTTAAAATTAGGATAAATGAACATCGTTCACGCATTAGGAATGGGTCCACTGACTCTTCATTATATGTACATTTTAATGAAAAAGCACATACACACCATAGCTTTAAATTTTGCGCTTTGGAAAAAATATTACCCAGACCTAATGCAGATACAAAAAAACTCCTTCTGCAAAGGGAA